TTGTGTTCACTGGAGGTGAACAGAAGAGTTCTGTGGCTGCTATATCCAAAACAGACTTTTGTGAATCCTTGTGGATTAAACATCAAGTAGATAACTTCTTGCACATGGGGAAGATTGGCACAATGATCCCTGTGGTGTCTTCAAATCCCAGCAGGACCAGGGCAGTGATTGTCCCCTGTACTTGGCACTGCTGAGGCCACAGCTCCAATCCTGTGTTCAGTTCTGGGCCCCTCATTACCAAAAAGATATTGAGGGGCTGGAGCGCATCCAGAGAAGGGCAACAGAGCTGGGAAAGAGTCTGGAGCACAAGTCTGATGGGGAGTGGCTGAGGGAGCTGGGGGTGTTTAGCCTGGAGAAAAGGAGGCTCAGGGGGGACCTGCTCAACAACTGCCTGGAAGGAGGCTGCAGTGAGGTGGGGTCAGTCCCACGTACCAAGCAACAAGAGACAAGAACAGAGCAAATGGCCTCAAGTTGCACCAGGGCAGGTTCAGATTAGAAACTAGGGAAAATTTCTCCACTGAAAGGTGATCAAGCATTGGAATAGGCTGCCCAGGGAAGTGGTTCACTCACCATCCCTGAAGGTATTTGAAGTCATACAGATGTAGTCTGTAGGGACATAGTTTAGTGGTGGACTTGGCAGTATAAGGTAAAGTTGGAACCTGATGATTTTAGGTCTTTTCAAATCTACATGACTCTGTGATTCCATCTGTGAATTAGTTGGCTCCAGACTCTTCCACAGCACTTACAGTTGTTCTAGCCACTATTTGTTGTACAGAGGGGTCCCAACCAAAACTCATTACTCCACTTGTGTTAGGCTTCTCATGTCGCAATGAATTTCAATTAACAGTCTGAAAAGTATATAGTCTGTGCAAAATCTAATAAACCAGGGGACACATGGCTGCACAATGCCAGGAATTCTCAAGGTATTTGATTTGAAAATTACTACAATGAAAGTTTATAGCTGCAGCTCAATTCATTTCGTGAGAGGAAAGATAAAGCCGTGGAAGGATAGACACTATACAATTCTGCTTTATATGTCAGAGATTCATTCTCTGGTAAGCTTCAAATAGTATTTCATTGGCATTCTCTTAGATGCCAAACTGTTAAATGCAAGGCCACAGCACAAAGAGGTTTCTTAAATTGCTGGAGGAATAAATTGGATCTTGTAACATGCTTTGTAATTTCAATTGCATTCTGCAGCAACTCTCCAATCCCCAAGTGTATATGGAATCCCATTCGACAATCATTGTTTCCTTCCTGCTGCTGAAAAATAGCTTAAAAAATCCCAAGACCTCAATGATTAATTTAAGTGTGTATTTAATTGCTTTTATAGCTTCTTTTTGTAATGTTCTAGTTTTTTAATCAAGAATGTGACCATCTCTTTTATTCAATTTGCATTCAAGAGAGGCTTGCACATTAGATTAAGTACATTCATGTGCATCTGACAGCAAGCACTCTGCAGCTTGGAGATAATGAATCTAAATCAGATTCAGGCTTTATTTTGCAGTGCCAGGTAAATTTTAGAGGCCCAGCATTTGTAATTTATTTCTCACTAAGATGAAAAAGTCGGTTTGATGGCTACTGTCAGCCAACAGGAGATAAAAGATGAGATGGCCCCTGCAAGGCACTATTCAGTAGCTGCACAAAAGTAGGGAGATAATTTGTGGCTGCAGAGAAAAAATTAATTTTACACCTATAAATTTATAATACATGCCGACCCTGAAAAGCACATAAACTAGAATTTTAGAATTAAAGAAATAAAGTATGTGAAAGAGTCCACACAGTAATAATAAAGTCAAAAGCATATGTATGTGTATATATCTTCTTGTGGCAGTGTGTGCATGAGCCAAAAATGCTTATAATCCTGTGCACTTGTTAAAAATAGCCCTGCCCAATAACCTCAGCAGTCAATAATGGGAGATCACATATACAACCATTTCTGCAGCCCATTTAGAAATGAGATACTACAGATGCAGCACTTCCCTTACTCCCCAGTTCTCACTTTTTGCCAATCCATTGTAGAAGGGCTGTGTAGGAATTCCCACCTTTGCCATTTGACCTGTTGTAGCCCGAGGCAAACGATTTCTCCCTGCCTACATTCCCGGGCTGCATCAGAAGCAGTGTGCCCAACAGGTCAGGGAAGGGATTCTCCCCCTTTATTCCACTCTCATGAGACCCTACCCAGAGTGCTGCATCCAGTTCCAGACCCCCAACATAAGAAGGATGTGGGCCTGTTGGAGCAGGTCCAGAGGAGGCCATGAAGATCTCAGAGATCTGACATGGTGGCTGGTGTACCAGCTGGCTGGTGGGAGGAAGAAAGCTTTGGCAAGCTGGCATGATATTGACTTGGTTTTTATGCAGGTTGTTCCTGAGGAGGTCAAAATCTGTAGAATTTTTCCAGTTTATAGCTACACAAAGTAAGAATAGCGGTATATTTCTTCTTTTGTCTTCTGTGCACTAACAAACTCCCTGATAATATTCTGGCCTCAGTCATGCACATACTCCTTCTCTTCACCATCTAGGTATCCCCAGGAGTGTGTCTCCATTTATGACCAATTTTTTAGAGAAAGACCCAAAGACCAGACAGACAACACTACTTCCAGGAGTCTTCCCCCCCCCCCCCCCCCCCCCATAGTAGCTATGAGGATGCCACAGTCCTCAAGTATGAGGTTTGAATATAATCATTGCCTACAGCAGGGGTGTAAATATCCTGAACACACCTAGAATAATGCATGAAGCCATGTGCTCTTTAGGGAGAAATCATAAGGCTGTGGAATCAAATTGCAACAGTCTATTCTATTGAGTGCCTAGAGGCAAGGCAAGGAAAAACAACCATATCCATCTAATCATCTTTTGCTCTGCAGTCTACTCTTTTCTGCATGGACTGTATAATTTATCCATAAATATATTAAAGCATATTAAAAAATACACAGGCAGACAGCAACACTAAGGGAACGATAAGCTGGAGAATGTCCCTCTAGCAAAGCAGACATGAACTTCATGGGAAGGATGCAGGTACAGAAGCAGCGCTGACTTTGAGATGAAATTGGACATGAATCTTCCAGTTTAGGGAGGTAATCAGAGCACTGGTGTTTCTACAGAAGTAGCTGTGGTCATGGTAGTGCTGGTGGCGATGATGTTTTCACCATTTTAAAGGATAAAAGAGCTCATTTATTAAGGGGTGCAGGGACCTGTCTTCTTCAGCAAATACATAATTACAACATAAAGAAATACAGGTTATATACATGATATAACTAAATGCATAGTAAATACATTATACGTACAATATACGGTGTATATAAATTTCACATAGGCAATTTATGGATTATATGCGGCTTGAAATTCCTAACCAACCACGGTTATTCACACTCCTGCACTGAAAAGTTCTTTGAAGATGCTCCTTAAGCACTAACAACTCCTCCGAGTGGCTCTGCTCCGCTGCCCTGCTCCGTGTCCCGCTAAGGTCCCGTGTCCTTGTCCAGGGTCCCCAGGCGCTGTGGCGCCCACCCGCCGCCTTTATCGCGGCTCACGGGCACAGCGCGGGCACAGCGCGGGCACAGCGCGGGCACAGCGCGGGCACAGCGCGGGCACAGCGGGCAGAGCACCGCAGGGCCGCGGCCGGGCAGCCCCGCTGCCCCCGCCGGGTCCCGGGCGGGCGTGCCGCTGTCCCCGGCGGGGGCGGGCCCGGGCCGGCTCCCCCTCCCCGCCGCCGGCGGCTGAGCCTTAACAGGTAACGGAGGAGGGGCGGCCGCCGCCGCGGGGTTGCGGCGGGATCTCCTTCCTGGGTTTCCTTTCGCTTCGGCGGGTGCGCCGCGCCGGGCTCACCTGGGCAGGGCACGCCTGGGCCGGGCCGGGCCGCGCCCGCCCAGCCCCGCCGGGCTGCCTGTGGCAGGGGCGGCGCGGCGATGGTGCCGGTGTGCGGCGGGGTCTGCGCCCGCCGCCTGCTGCCGATGGTGGCGGCCGGCCGGGGGCCGCTCCTGCTCGCCATCACCCGGGCCCGCAGCAGCCAGGCGGGGGGCGCCGCCCCGGCCATCAAGAAGCGAGGCTACGACATCACCAGGAACCCCCACCTCAACAAGGTGGGTGCCTTTGGCCGGGGTGCTGCAGGGGCGTGCGGGCCCGGGCCTCGGGCAGGGCGGCGGACGTGGGGAAGGCCCGGATCGCTCCCTGGGGACGGTCCCAAAGGGGTGAAACGCTGGGGAGGGGGAGCGGCCGTGGGTTGAGCTGAAAGGAGCACGGGATGTGTGATGGGTGCCCAGCGGCTGGCTCGGTGCTGCGGCCTCCTGTGGAGTCGGGCACCTGCCTCCCCCTGACCGCTGTCCTGCTGCCGCAGTGGCACGGACAGAGCCTGGGTAGGGCAGAAGTGACCTTGCCTGGGAACTGAAGCTGTTTGCCTGAAAGCACAAAAATTGGGATGGAGAAAATACAACTTCTCTTTAAAGTCCAATACCAAAATCTGAGTTATATATATTTTTTTCTTAACTTTTTAAAATGCATATAGCTATGAAATGGGTCATTTACACCTTCATGATGAAACAAGCATGTGTGGCTGTTCTTGTTTTCACTCTTCCTTTCATAGCATATCCATAGCTGTGTGTGCTCCACTACCAAAGCAACATCTCGCCAGGCTGAAGATGTGTTTATCATCAATACTGTGGAAACGTTAATAATACAGTTATAATAAGAATAAAAAATGCTTTTGGAGAAAGTTTTGAGTGAAGTCTACAGAGCATGTGAAGTGAGACTCTGTAACTTAACTCTACACTGCTTTTCATAATTTGAAGAGAAAAAAATAATCTGGGTGCCAATATTGGGATCTAATATGTCAGACTCAATAATGTTGGGTTCTACTTTCTCCTGTTAATGTTACTAGAAATAACTACAGGTGCATTATTTACCTAAAATGAGCATTATTAAATAAACATGGTATTGAAATTGATTGATTGATTGATTGGGCTATGACTTGTCATATGCTTGGTACACAGTTATCCAGTCCATGAGCCTCCTATGTCGTCTTCCAGACTGGAGACCCTTTGGATGACCTCTTTAGCTTTGTGTAGGATGAGCTGCATCTTCTGGTACCATTTCAGCATCCATAGAGATGAATCCCAAAGGACCAAGGCATGCGATGACATTGAATATTACTGACAGTGGGTATTACTGAATATGCAACAACTTGATAAGCAGTCTGGTTTGAATCATTGTATAGTGCCTGTGTGTAAGGCTGAAGAGAAAAGGGACTGCCAACTAGGTAATAAATAACAGTAATTTGTCGGCATTAAGAGGTTTTGATGGGTGCTTCATGGTAGTTACAAAGAGTGACATAGCTAATGTTTCTTGTTTTCTTGCATATACTGATTTGAACTGAAAAATTAATGCTTTGACCTTTCCTCTGTGTAATGCAATAATAACACACAAACAGTTGAGTTTGGCTGATGAAAGAGTAGATTTTTAACTACTTAATGTCCTGTTTTATACTTCTCAGAACTGAGGCTTTTCTTGAGTGTTTTCCCTCCTCCCAGTGAAACAAGGTATTTTTCTTGACATTTAAATGGAATTTTTGTCCATGTGGAGAGAAGGGTAGAAAACTGTTCCTGTTAAAGGAAAAATGTACTGTAGTGTGCCGTGTTTAATTGGCCATGAGAAGTCTCCCAGCTGGTTCTCCAGCCTGTGTGTTTGCTGTTTGCTGCGTTTCTCAGTCACCGAGATAAATCGTCTGCACAGCATCCAAGTCAAGACAGAGATGGCTTACATCTGTGGTGAGAGATAAGGGCTGCTTGTGTATGCACCCAGGTAACCCATCATTACCAAACACTCATGACCTCTTTCCAGACTTTTCTAAACAGGCTTTCCATTTCTCTGTGGCTCTTAGCAGTTCATTGTAGCCTCTGAAGAATTACCTGTGTTCAGCTGAAACAGTGTTTTTCAGGCAGTTCATGTGTTGTCAGTGTGGGATTGGTGGCCCTTTGGTCTGCTGTGCTGCAGCAGTGTAAATCAAAATTAGGGATCCTTAATTTAGGTAGGTTTTCAGCTGTTGTACTCTCCTCACATTGCAATTACTCTTTACCCCTTCGGTAACTAAATGCAGGCATGGGGTTATTGCTGTTTTTCTGCAGTGGATCTCACTTTAATCTAAATTTTCAACTGATTGCAAGCAGCTCTGCAGGGAATAGTCCTTGCATCTCTCCAAGAACCTCAAAAAAAAAAAATGTTCAGAAGTGAGACTTTGGGCAGCAAGTATTTTGCTGCTTTATTCAATACCATGTCTGTTTTATAGGTTTTGGATGAAGTTTCAGCTGTCAGTCTGAAGCTGTGAAGTGTGTGGTATTTATTCAATGAAGAACACTGTCCCTTCAGCAGAATTGCAGACAGATTTACAGTCTGAGGTTATTGATCCAAGTTTTTGCTTGCTTACTAGGTTGAAGGTGCTTTGAAGAAGAAGCAGACTCAAAATCCGCTGCTGGCAGGTCCTCTGTAATATCCTAAATATTAGTAAAAGTGATAGCAGGCTGTCCTCTGAGAAGTTCCCCTGGTTTCCAAAGGTGCCTGAGAAGAAGAAGAAAAATAAATCCAAAAGCTATTTATGGATTTAATAAATTGGCAGTTGTTTCTTCCCTTTGTTCTTTGTTTACTGTGAGCTACATTTCTTACTACTGTGATATTCAAATACTGTTCTTCCTTGAGTTGTGAAGTGTGACAGTCCATGTTTAATCCAAGGACAGGACTTGGGAAACATCAGCATTCTTGTGAGAGGTACTTGCAGCTTTAAAAGGCAATAGCAATTGTTGTTATTTGTCTGAGGAGTCTCAGAAATAAGAAGAGGGTGAAGAAGAACTTGTCACATGTTTTTATGAAGTGCTTCATGAAGAAATTCTTTTCTAGACCTCGAACACCGCAAAATCGGAAAACCTAGAAATGTTAATAATGTCGGATAACGCAGAGCACTGGTAAGAGTGTTCTGTGGTAATCCAATGCAAACTGGACTTGCTTGGACAGAAAGAAGTCTCTTTTACTGTGGGACCTCAGCCTTGTGAAAAAGCTGATTCAGTGCTCAGAGCCTGGGAGGAAAGATGGGGCTTCCCTTACCAACTACCTTGTGTATCAAAGCTGCCGTGTGTTTGGTGTGGTCAAGTCCATGTCCTGTTCTCTCTGACACTGCTGTCAGTTCTTAAGATTTGTGCAGTTCTGTTCATCTCAGATGTGCCTTTTATGATTCCCAGTTTTTCTAGGGACTCTGTCAAATTCATATGCCTTTTTTTGTATTTGAACAAACACAGGCTGAGCTGGACAATCCCTAGCTCGACCACACACCTGCAGGGACTCAAAAATCTTATTGTGTCCAAAACTGACTGTAACTTTGCTCATGACATCTGACTGGAAGGCTGATGACACTTCTTGCATTTTTCTGGAAGTTCTAATTTTGAGATAAATCATGCCTGCTTGGAGATCTGCCATCACAAACAGATGCAGCACTGGAGGTCACAGTTTGTTTTCAGAGTGGCAGGATATTGCCCTATTTGAAGGGTTAAGATAATCCATTAAACTTTCCTGCAAGTGCAATGCAAGGATCTGACTTTGTGGTCTCTCGGTACATCTGGTAATACTCTCTACTCCTCTGATGTGCATGCATGTTCTCCATTGTTTTTCATGGAATGTCATGATGAATTGCCAAAAAAAAATCCCCAACAAAACAAAATTACTAGTCTAGATCTGTAAGAATCAAACCTTAAAGAACTGCTGTAGGTTTCTGCAGCATTTTTTGAATGTACTGCTGTATACATGATTAAAATGCAGAAAGGTTGTTTGTCCTTCAGCTTTGCAGGGATTGAAATTGAGCTAACTGAGGGTTCTTTGAACAGTGTCAGTAATTTGCCACTGCAGCTGAGAAACAAATCATGTGATCTTGCACACGGCTGCACTTGGCAGCTGTGGTGAAACAGCTAAAATTAGGTGGATTTGTAAAATGATTTGATTTTAAAAGAAATAGTACTGAGCACAAGAGCAGTGTGTCTGAAATTAGTTGGCAAGATCAAATCGAGGCAGAATTCTGTTTTCAAAGTAGTGAATCTCTCTAAATCCACAGGACTGAGTTCTTACAACTGGAGTTTCTCTTGCAGCTGGAGTTTTCAGTTGGCTAGCTTTAGGTTTGGATAGATCCATAACAGCTGAGTGATGCATGGGGCTTTAATATGTGCATTCCAGCATTTGTTAACTTACCATCTGTTCATGTTTTGCAAAGGAAGAATATGAGGCGGGCAGAGTTTAGAGGTTCCCCTCATATTTTTTCAGGAGCCCAAAACTATTTTAGCAAAGTTGGGGGGGCACATTTTAGACTGGACAAGTTAATTTAGGGAAAAAAATCCACTGGGGGTTATTAAACACTTTAAAAAAACACCTGGCTTAGAAAGTCTCCAAACTGAAAATGGTGAAAAGATGGGAGAGTGCAGTGGAAGAGTATCCTATTAACCTGCGTTATTTACTCTTCTTAAGGCTTGTGGCTGCTGCAGGAGACAGGATGCTCATGTACATGAAGTGACCTGATGGTACCATTGAGTTTCTAGGGATATCAAACAAGACACTTGCATAGCCAAACCCTGCAACTTTAGACCCAAGTAAAACTATAGCTGAGAGATGATGTTTTGTAAAATCAGCTTCTAAATACTCTAGAGTAGAAATGTGAGTGAGCTGGAGCACTGTGCATCGTGATGAACCTTCGATGGTGCCCGGAGCAGAGAGGCTCTTTACATGTTTGTGCTTCATTAGTCAAGCCAAGGTGCATGTATCCTCCTGACTTCAATTGGAAACAAACTCCATGGAGGTGAGCTTTGGCCAAATATTTTGGCAAATGTGGTGGTGTTCTGGAAATACGATTGCTCAGTTAGATGTGTTTTGGCCATCATCCTGGCACGTCAACTTTCATTTTTATTTGCTTGATTTTAGTGTCAGTCATATATTTTTCTGAGGCCAGACTGTCTTTTGGCAAGGACCTTTCCTAATATTTTGGTGCCAAAGAACTTGTTGTTATGGTGTGGTCAGCAGACTGAGCCCAAACTAAATCTGTTGGTCCTTCTGGTATTAGCAGCAGCCTGCAAAAGTCCCTTTACTCCCCGAGCCTGGATTCCAGTTCATCTCTCTTATCATAGCCAAACCAAGAAGCCATCTGCCTTCCTGTCTGCCTGCATAACCTCTTGCCAACACTGTTACTCTCCCCTTTGAGATGCTGCTAATGCTTTGGGAGTAGCGTTCCCATGGAAAAGCTTGGAAGTGCATAGGATATCTGTTGCTGTGAGGGTGAGAGGGGTGCTGATGCAGACCTTGCCTGTATGCTGTACTAATCCGGTAATATGTTGGTCCTTGTTTTCCCTTCAGCCCTTATAAATGAGATTGAGAGATCTTGGAAGCATTGGTTGGGCAGCTTTTATAAGTGCTGAGTTTATGCTTGCACTCAGTGTAAGATTTTAATAAAAATAAATTGGTTTTGGAACAAAACGCTTCTTTCTGTTTTCTGAAAATGTTGTAAAAATACCTTTAAAACTGCCTTTAAGTTGAGGAAATTCATCAGTTTGGCAGCTGCTTATGTTGCTTTCTTTTTATCATGCCCTTTCTTTTGGAGACGCCTTAATCCTTACATCAGGCATGTTTTGGTAAGGCAGAGCCAAGAATGAATGTAGCTCTGGTTTCATAGCATAGGTTAAGCTTTTCGGGCACTTGAATAAAATTTGCACTTAAGTAACACAAATTCTTTGGTGAAGAATATGAAAATTGATATTGTTGCAGTTAGAATGGATGTAGTGCTGAATATTGCAGGTTGTTCACATTCCTATTCCTTGCATCTAGTGAAATATGGGGTAAGCTACTAGTTGATTACTTTGGAAACACTGTAGATGTTGTCAGGAAGACTGAGGATATTATGTGTGAGGTGAACCGTATGTGCTCCACTGACCTCGGCACACTCCAAGCCTTGTCCCTCGTAAGCAGCACAACATACAATGTCACTGATGTCAGAGAACTGTGCTGCTCTGTGATGAGATGAGTCATCAGTGCTCATCAGAATTAGTGATGATTCAGCTGAAGGTGCTGAAAGGCAGTGCTGACCCCCAAGATGAAGTGAAGATCTATAGTCTGTGGCTGGGTTTTGCTTTCACATGGTTTGGATGTGCAGTAGTGTACCCACTAGAGATGGATCTGGCAGCCTTGTAATGCTGTGTGGCAGATTTTGACTCCTGAGTTTTTTATTTTGATGTGTTACATCTGGCATTTGTTAGACAAAACTGGACCTAGAGCTAATTCCATTTGACTTGATTTTGGATTACAGAATCACTAGGTTGGAAGAGATGTACAAGATCATCAAGTCCAACCCATGCCCTAACACCTCAACTAAACCATGGCACCGAGTGCCACATCCAGTCCTTTTTTAAACACATCTCAGGATGGTGACACCACCACCTCCATAGGCAGACAATTCCAGTACTTGATCACTCTTTCTGTAAAAAACTTTTTCCTAATATCCAACCCATATTTCCCATGGTCCGGCTTAAGACTGTGCCCTCTTATTCTGTCAGTTCCTTCCTGGAGAAAGAGACCAACCCCCACCTGGCTACAACCAGCTTTCAGGGAGTTGTAGAGAGTGATAAGGTCACTTCTGGGTCTCCTTTTCTCCAGGCTAAACACCCCCAGCTGCCTCAGTCGTTCCTCACAGCGTTTGTGTTCCAAGTCCCTCTCCAGCCTCATTACCTCCTCTGGATGTGCTCAAGTGTCTCAACATCCTTCCCAAACTGAGGTTGGATCCCATGTGGTCCCAAAGATTTATGAACATCCAAGCAGCGCAGCAGTTCTCTGACTGCCTCCTCCTGCATAGCAGGGGAACCATTCTGCTCCCTGACACCATCTACCAACCCAGGAGGACAAGCCATCTTCCCGCTAAAGACTGTGGCAAAGAAGGCATTAAGCACTTCTGCCTTCTCCTCATCTGCAGTTGCTAAGTTCCGTCCCTCATCCAATAGAGAACAAAGGTTAGTCTTACCCTTCCTTTTGCTATTAATGTATTTGTAAAAACATTTTTTATTTTCCTTTACAAAAGTTGCCAAATTAAGTACAAATTGAGCTTTGGCCTCCCTAAATTTTTTCCTGCGTGCCCTAGCAACCCCCTTAAATACTTCCTGAGAGACCTGACCCTCCTTCCAAAGATGATACATCCTCTTTTTATTCCTAAATTCTCTCAAAACCTCCTTGCCCATTCAGGCTGGATGTTTGCCTCACTGACTCATTTTTCGGCACACAGGGACAGTCTATTCCTGTGCCCTCAGGATCTCTGTTTTGAGGCATGCCCACCTTTCCTGGTCTCCTTTGTTTTTAAGGGCTGCTTCCCAAGGAACTCTCTGAATAAGTCGCTTAAATAGGCCAAAGTCTGCCCTCTGGAAGTCCAATGTAAAAGTCTTATTGATGTTCCTCCTGATTTCACCAGATATCAAGAACTTTATAATTTCATATCACTGTGCCCCAAGTGGCCTCCAACCACCACATCTCCCACCAGCCCATCTCTATTTGCAAACAGCAGATCTAAGTAGTCCCTCCCCTGGTGGGCTCACTCATCAGCTGCGACAAAATGTTGTC